CAAGCCTAACCAGATCCTCATTGTCCTTCAAAACTCAAAGCAGATGGCACCTCCCTTGGGAAGAATCTCCCGACAACCCCCTTGCCCCCCCCACCCCCCCCACACACACTGGGCTGAGCAGGGTGCCTTCTCTGAGCTACCTCTATTATCATTTTGGATTATGTCTCCTTCTCAATCAGAGCTGACCCCACCCCTCTCCTGCTCACAGCCCCCCATGGCTCCCCAGTGCCCCCAGGACAGAATCCCTGGGCCTAGCACTCAAAACCCTGCACCCACCCACCCCTCAAGCCCTGTATCTCGTCTTTATGTCAGTTATAAGGAACCACCAGCAGACAGCTGAAGGTTCCAGAATGCTTCACATGCACACAGCTCCTAATGTCTGAAGTGCCACCCCCAACACACACAAATTTCAATTTCTAGACCACAGCCACGCCCACTCAGAGTCACACCTCCCTCGGGTGTGTGTGGGAGGTGGGGCCCACCCTCTAGAAGACCCCTCTCACTTGTCAGACTGGGCTGGGCCCCTCTACGGGGCTCCCCGACACCCTCCGCTGTCTCTGTTATTGCCCAGATCGCTTTCTCAATCACTCATGACTCACATCGGTCTCTCCAGCCCACGGGGGGCGTGGCCCTTGCAGAGGCAGCAGGACAAAGTGACACCAGTGATGGTCATATTAACCTCAACCAGCCAAGCACCTACTATGGGCCAAGCCCTGTGCTGGAGTCACTGAGTCTGTCCTCTCATCCTGCCCATGATCCCATTGTCCAGATGAACAAACCGAGGCCCAGGAGGACAAGCCACTTGCCCAAGTTCCCTCAGACAGTGAGGATGGAAGGCCAGTTTCCAGCCTGATGACCAAGCTGGTGTCCTGGGGCCTGGGTTCAAATCCCAGCCCGGGTACCACTTCACTGCGTGACCCCAGCACACCCTTTTCCTGCCCTGGACCTCAAAACTGGGGCTGATGTTATGGCCACCAACAACGAAACGACGGACACCCACTCAGGCTTCCGATGTGCCAGGCCAAGCCCTTGATGTGCGGATTATCTCTGATTCGCCCAACCACCCCTCCCAACCCGGAAACTGTTCATCAGCCTCCCTGTTTTCTGAGAAGGAAACCAAGGCCCAGAGGGGTGCGGCCACTTGTCCAGGAGAGCGTGAGGTGGAGCTGGGGTTGGACCCGGCACCGTTCCCTCCAGAACCTGCCTGCCTTAGTGGCCACTCTGTTTCTGACGTCACTTCCCAGGTGTGTGACCTTGGGCATGCTGGGTGGGCTCCTGGGCCTCAGTTTCCCCAGCTGGGCAATGGGAGGGGCTGGGCTCATCTCTGGTTCTGGGGGCTGGGCAGAGCCCCAGGAATGCTGGGAGGTTTCGTGGGGAGCAGGGCCACCTCCCCATCAGTCCCAGGCCCTGGCCTCTCCTGGACCGAGGTGTTTGGAGAACACAGAAGCGGGCGGCTTCTCCAGAGGGGACATTCCTATATGCACCCTAATAGGTGTACGATGGGGAGGAGAATCCAGTGGCAGACAGCCCTGTCACCTCACGGGGGAGTGCCAGCATCCTTTCCGAGGGGACACTGCCTGGGGGATGGGGTGGGGCGTGGGCTGTGGGCTCAGCCAGCCCAGGGGGTGAGAGCCGGGCCCACAGGAAGGACAAACACTGCTACCAGGGCCTCAGCGTCCACCTCTGTAAAATGGGGATAATCACATCTCCTCTGGAGGCCGAGTGAGAGTTGGAGGTGACACGAGTGGTAACAGCATCTCTGGGGTTTGAATTCTTCGTGTGTACAAGGCAGCGCATTGAGCGCTCGGCTGAACCAGCACTCACACAGCACTTACTAAGGAAGGCTTCTGTGCCCACCTGAACCCTTCACACGGCTTACCTCGGATAATCCTAACCTGAACCCCATGAGGCAGGTTCGGTGATTACTCCATTTCACAGATGGGGAAACTGAGGCATGGTGAGGGGAGGTCACAGTGCTTAACCACACACTGTGTTCCCCAAATCCCTTCCCAGCTGTGTGACCCCGAGAAGCGACTTTTCCAGAGTCTCAGGTTTGTAAGGGCTGGAGCCACGGGGCCCCGTGACGGAAGCTGGTCCTTTCCCGAACTCTGCCCTCTGAGGGCATCCCCTCCTACCGCGCTCGCACCCAGCCGCACCTTGATGTCCTCGGCATTGGCAGACTGCAGCTTCTCACGGAAGTGCCCGTCCGTCTCCAGCACGTTGATGACTTCCTGGAGGTACCGGTGATAGTACAGGCCTGTGTCCTGAGGGGACAAGGACGAACATAGCAGCCCCAGCCTCCACCCCTCTCTGGTCCCTCCCTGCAGGAAGGACTCAGGGCGCCTGCTGAGGGACCCAGGGACCCCCATCCCCCCACTTGGAGCAGGAGGCCTGCCCCATGGGACAAAGACTCTGAAGCCAGCAGACCCCGGTTCTAATCCCCATCTGCCTGACCCTCTGGGCCTCAGCTGTCACCTCCTCCCAGGTCTGTAGTGAAGATGAGATAAAAATCACACGGGTAAACATCCAACCCAACACCGTCCCCCGAGTGGGTGCTTAAAGAGCGGACACACTGGTATTTGTTGGCAAGCAGTGAAACATACATTCAGTCATTCATTCATTCAACAAGCATTCAGCAGGCCCCTACCGTGTGCCAGGTGCTGTTCTAGGGGACACAGCAAGTGAATAAGACAGATGAAAATCCCTGGGCTCCTGGTTCCAGCCCTGCCATGTGTAGGTGGCTGGCACTTTCTTCTTCCTGGGCCTCACGCTTCCATTTGTAAAATAGTCAATAAATTCCCTACCTCTCAGAGCTGTGGCGAAAAGTGAATGAGACAAATGGCCTGGCATGATGAAAATGATATAAAAGATAATCTATTCTAGCTATCATTATATATGTCGAGAAGCACACAGTAGGTGCTTGAGAAATGGTAGCGGGTCACCCAGCTATGTTACTGTGGGTGTACTGATTTCCTGCGGCTGCTGCAACAAAGCATCACAAACGAGCAGCTTAGAGCCACACAAATTTATTCTCTTGGAGTTCTGGAGGTCAGAGTTCAAAATGGGTCAGCAAAGGTGAGCTTATTCTAGAGGCTCCAGGGGAGAATCCATTTCCTTGCCTTTTCCAGCTTTTAGAGGCCGCCTGCGTTCCTTGGCTCGTGGCCCCGCATCACTCTGACCTCTGATTACATCACCTCTGACTCGGACCTTCCTGCTTCCCTCTTATAGGGAAGGCTTGTGATTACATTGAGCTCACCTGGATAATACACGGTCATTTCTTCACCTCAAGAGCCGTAACTCAATCACACCTGCAAACACTCTTTTGCCCCCTAAGTAATATATTCGCAGGTTCTGGGAATTAGGGCGTGGACATCTTTGGGGGCCATCATTCAGCCAAACACAGCGGCTGGAATCCCAAATCTGTCAATTACTAGTCAGGTGACATTGTTAGGACTGCTAGGAAGCCTGGTTAAATGAAAATTTCAGATAAACAACGAGTAACTTTTAGTATAGGTATATTGCATGGGGTGCACGTATACTAATAATTATTCGTTGTTTATCTGAAATTCAAATTTAACTGGGTGTCCCGTGTTTTTATTTGCTAAAGCTGGCAACCTCAGTCCTTGGGCAAGTTACTTAACCTCTCTGTGCTTCGGTTTCCTCATCTGTAAAGTAAGGTTAATGAGTACCCACTTCATAGGGGCTGTTGTGAGGATTAGATGAGTTAATATCTTTAAATGTTAAACAGTGCCTGGTACTTAGTAGGAGCTGTCAATCTTATTGATTGTTGTTGTTATTAACGTTTATAACCTTCTGTGCTTTCTGTTAGCCTCAGAATAAAGGAATTCTCAACCATGGCCCTGCACGATCTGCCCCCGTCCCATCTCTGACCTCATCTCCCCCTCGTTCACTCTGTTCCAGCCACACTGGCCTCCTCCAAGTCCCTCTACTCACTCTGCTCTCCCCCACCCCACAGCCTTTCCCCAGGCTGTTCCCTCTGCCTGGAATGTTCTTCCCTGCCCTTCAGATCTCAGCTGAAGTGACCCTTCTTTGCTGACCATCACCCCTGATGTCCATTCTCAGGGAGCCTGGCTGTTTGTCTTCCCGGTGAGCTAGGCTGGTCTGTGAGGGCAGGGGGCTTGCACCAGCACCGTGCTTGGCTCATAGAAGGTGCTCAAGAAATGTGTGGAAGGAATGAAGGAAAAGGGGACTCAAAGCTGCCCTTCTATGTCTGCAAAGGTTTCACGGAGCAAAGGCCTAACTCGTGGGTGGGGACGTGCAACACAGGAGCATGGAATGATTTGTTCCAAAGACAGGGACTGGCCCATTCCTGGAGGGAGCTGTAGGAGGATTCAGGCCACAAGTCAGGGCATTGGCTTTGAGGATTTAAAGTTCCAAATTCCCTAAGAACACTGGTTTCAGAGCATTTGATAAACACGTGTTGGAATTAATAAATGAACAGATTACATACCCCTTCATAATTTAAACTACAACTCCCAGGATCTCCGTGAAGTGAGAATACCTCAGTTAGCTAACAACACCTGCTCAAGGTGCTACTGGGAAATGTAGTTCTTTTTTTTCAGATTCCTTTTTGAGGGGAGAGGGTCTTAAAAAGAACAGAGAGGTTTGAGGGGGGGCGGTGATGCAGATTTTTCACCTAAAATCTGACCTGATTTCCCACACCTCAGAGTCACGGACTTAGAAATCTGCCCCCTCCGCTTCCCCTCCAGTTTTTCACCACGTCAAAGCCCTGGGACTGCAAAGAATGGCAGGCAAACTCCAAGCCGCATCCGTGCGGAGTATCCGCCCAAGGGGTCTGCGGGAATCGCAGTACCACTGCAAACACCTGGCTGGAGAGCAGGGCAGGGCCACTCACGGGGCTCTCGGTCGCGGGGCTCTCCTCCTTGGGCACCCCTCGCTCCAGGGGCACGGTCAGAACAGCGCGGAGCAGCAGCAGCGGTGGCAGGAGGAGGAGGGCAGCGCGGGGCCCAGAGGGAGGCATGGCGGCGTGGTCTGTGGGCGGACGAAGAGGTGAATAATATCTGTCCCAAACCTCCTCCTCCCCTGGACCCAGGAATCTGGGCCCCCGGCGCCGCCACCCCGCCCCCTCCCACCCCAAGAGTCAAGACAGCGTCCCGTTTCCTGGGAGCCAGGATTCCAAGCCTCCATTCTTTCCTTCCTTAGACCCAGGAGTTCTGGCTCCCAGCACCCTCTTCGCTCAGCCTCAGGAATCTGGGATCGCAACCTTGCCCTCTTTCCCCAGACCCAAAGGTCCAGGCCCCCAGCCCCCTTTTTACCCCAGGATCTAGAAGTACTGGTGCCCAGCTCGTCCTCCCCCGGGACCCAGTTTTTCAGCCCTCTGGTCCCCCACCTTCCCCCCTCCCCGGGACCCAAGAGTCTAGAAGCCCCCATCCCCTCACCTCCTTCACCGCAGAGGGCGTTTTCCAAGGCTAGGACCTCCGGCGCGGTCCTGCTGATTCCCCCAGGCCACGCCCACTTTCCCGCCCCCAGAAGCCTGATTGGTCCACGCTGGCTCCAGGCCCCTTCGTCACTGCCTAGCGGCTCCGCCCCTTGTCGAAGTCTCTTGCTTGTTCTCGAAAGCCTCGTCTCCTTTCTCGGAAGCCCTAACTCTTGACGTCGTATTTCCTGCCTTCTAGGCGAAAGGAGAGCCGATGCTTTCAAAGAGAACTACAACTCCCTGCAGGCAGGCCGGGGGAAAATGAGTCAACTTCCGTGGGCATCTTGGCCCCTTCGCCTCATGGGAGTTGTAGTTTTCCCATTTATTTTCTCCCCAAGAAGTGGCTGCGAGTTACAGATCGGTAGCAATTGGCACAGGTCACCTTATAGTTTCTTATGTAAGAGAGAGGTGTAGAGCGAGGCTGCGATGCGGCCTCTCTTGGGTCTCTTTAAGGAACACCCGCATACCCTTCCAATTCAGAACCCCCGGGAGCCCGGTTGCCTGGTTGCAGCAGAGGCCCGGGGTCGTAGTTTTGTTGGAAGTGGAGCTTGGGGGAACAGGAGGGAGGGGATCAGGGCAGGTCCCTTCCCTCTGAGTCCTCTTTCTTCCCCTGCTTACTTCCCAGAGACCCATAGATTAGGTCCTCAACCTCCAAAGAGAGGGTTAGGTATGTTTAGAAATTGGCCAGAGAGGCAAAGCACTGAGGCGTGAATGTGGAAAGCCTCTCCAGGCATGAGAGGAGGAGAAGGAGTCTCCAGGACTCCAGGCAGGTGCGTGCTGGGGGTCTGGGGTCACTGGGGTTGGGTGTTTGAGGTCCTGAGTTCCCGTGCCTGGGTGTAGGAGAGATGTTTTTGGGGAGAGAGAACTGAAATCCTGGACCCCTGATAGTGATGAAAGCTGGAAACAGGCTGCCTGGGTCCAGGAGAAAATTTAAAGCTTAAAATCAGGTGTTGGAGGGCAGAGTCCATTGGGATGTTGGGTCTGGGTCCTGACTCCCCGTTCTTGCTTCTCCAGAATGTCACAGGAGAATGACACATGGGAAAAAGAGTGAGTGGGGAAACGGGATGGGCAGGGATGGAGATGGGGCTGCAACCGGGAACCCAGAGTTTGATTCTGCCCACATCCACTCAGCTCTGACTCCATGACGGTATTTGCAGGTTCAACACCATCAGCCTTGTAGGAAGGGGCTGGGGGCCTGGACTTCTGGGTCCTACCTAAAGGCAGGGAGCTATGAAGACTCATGGGTCTGGAAGAGGAGGGGCAGGGGGCTTGGACTCCTGAATCCTGAGACAGGAGGGGCCTGGGAGCTCTGGCTCCCGGATTCTAGACAGGCCAGTGCTGAGACAAAGCTTCAGAACTGGGGGAGCAGGCTTAGGCTCTGCCCCTTCTGTGACCTCACAAGTGCTCAGAACCCTAAGTTGGGCAGGGGGAAGGAGGGGATGGGGGTGCCCTGCTTGCTGTCACCATGAGTCTGCATCTCTCTCAGGGCTCTAGGGGATGAGCTCATCACCATGAGGCTGCAGAAGTTGGAACAGCAGGTACTAATGCCCAGGAACCCTGCCACCCCCACTCTTTCATCTTCCATAGCTCCCCAGGAGCCCCATCCCCAGGACTTGCTCTGGGACTCCTGGCCTTCCTTGGCTCTCTCAAGTGCTGCACCTGAGAAATGAGAAAACAAGAACTCGGGATCTTAAAGAAGTAAACCTTGGTGATGAGTCTCCGCAATTTCTAAGGAACAAGGGCTCTGGAGGGCAGGACTCCTAAGTCCTGGGGGAGGAGGGGACTGGGTGCCAGAACTCCTGGATCTGAGGAAGGAGGAGCTGAGTGATTAGGGCCTGGACTCCTGGACCTCTTCCACGGATGCAGGCCTCCCCTTGCCCCAGGCCCCTTAAACCCATCTTCCGGTCTGGTTCCTGGCCCCCACACTCTCCTTTCCCGCTCCCACAGCGGCGGCTGTTTGAGAAGCAGCAGCGAAGGAAGCGCCAAGAGCCCCTCATGGTTCAGGCCAATTCTGACACTTCCCTGCGGCACAGGCGACTGCAGAGGCGAGAGGAACGCCTCTCGGGTGGCTGCGGTGAGGAAAGGTTCCTAGGGTCTGTCAGGGGGGTAGGCCTGGAGGGAGGGGTCCGTGGGAGCACGGGGGCGGGGCCTAAAGGGCTCAGAGGAGCCTGGTGGAGCCCTGGGCGGGGACTTGGTGGAGCGCGTGTGCGAGGCCCAGAAGAGCCCGAGTGACCGACCGGTGGGGGCTCAGGGGCGGAGCCTTGGAAAGCCGGGGACTGCCCAGAGGGTGCGGGGGTGGGGTCTAGAGAGCCCGGGGGCGGGGCCTGGCAGAGTCGGGGGGCGGGGCGTGGGAAAGCAGCGGACCCGGTGGGGAGGAATCTGAGGGCTGAAATTGGCAAAGCCCGGGGGCGGGGCGAGGCCTGGGTAATTGAGAGACAAGGTCCCGGAGAGACTGAGAGCCCGGTGTGGGATCGTTTACGCACGGAGTCCACAACAATTTAGCTGTAGGGCCGTGCTTGTTTGAGTCTTAGGATGGAGTCTGGGTTCTGAGTGTGTCTCGGGGGTTTGGATGGTGAATCGGGGGCCGTGTCTGAGAGCTCAGTGAGGAGGCGGATCTTCTTCGCAGAGTACTGGAATTTGTACATCGTGTTAATGAGCGTCGCCGCACCTTTTCCCAGGCCTCGGGAAACCTTTCCTCCAGGAGAACGTGCCCGAGACACATGTGCGCTCTGGTGCCCGCAGTGACCTGAGCACCGTGAGCTGCAGTGGAGATGGCAGCCACGAGCGTGGTCCCATGGCGTCGCCGACAGAAACAGGTAATTTTAAGGCCTTGGATCGGCTATACACCAGAACTCCACTCCCACTAGAACCCAGGAGTCTGGAACCTCAATCCTTGCTCTTTAAAGAACCCAGGAGTCCAGGCCCCCACAGGCCCCGTCATTCACCACACCAAGGAGTCCAGGTCCTGAACCTCCTCCTCCAACACCCGAGAATCTGAATCTCCAGCCCTTTCCTCCGTGGTACTCAAAAATCCCGTTCTCCAGTCCCACTCCCTATCCTGACTACCAGAGAGTTCCGATCCGGAGCTGGAGGAAGTCTCCGTGGAGGATGTTCCTGTCTCTCCCCCTCCTTGTAAAGAGCCTCCGGGAACTCGACGCAGAGGTTGGCCAGCCCGCCAAGGATCTGGTAATTTTGGGGACATTAGGTGAAATTTGGCCCCCTGGTCCATGTGGCAAATCCTCCCCCTTTTTTGTAACAGCTTTATTGAGATATATTTCACATACCATACAATTCACTCATTTAAAGTTTACAATTCCATGTTTTTTAGTATATTTACAGAGATGTAAACATACTAAATCAATTTTAGAATATTATCATCACCCTCAAAAGAAACACTGTACCTTTTAGCTGTCTCCACCCCCGTCCTCCCATTTCTCCCAGCCCTAGGCAACCACTAATCTACTTTGTCTCTTTAGATGTGCCTATTCTGGACATTTCATCTGAATAGAATAATACAATTTATAATCTTTTGTGATTGACTTTTTTGTTTAGCATGTTTTTAAGGTTCATTTATGTTGTAGCATTATCAGTATCACATTCCTTTTTATTTCTTAATAATATTCCATTGTAGTGACATTTCTTTTTTTTTCTCATGACACGACCAACGATTTCAATAACAGGACTCAAAGGTCACCTCAAACTCCACTCCCCCCTCCCTTTTTAGTTTCCCAGTCTCTCTGATGTTCTCTCTGGGACAAGGGAAAGGGAAGACTCTAACCCTTCCCTGTCCTTAGACCCAGGGCAGTCCGAGACTTCTCAGCCCGTGTAAACCGCGTGTACATGCGGGAGGAGGAGAATCTGGCAAGTGAAAGCGATGAGTAATAAGTTGGGGCTGGAAACCCAGGAGTTCTGGCCTTCTCCGGCTAGCACTGGTGACCTTTTCCCAAGCTCCTGGAACCCAGGTGTTCTGAGCTCAGTCTTCTTCCGGCTTCTTCCACCCCTTAGGGACCAGTACAGAAGACGAGAGCGAATCTCAGGATGTTGGAGATGAATACGAGGCACCCAGTCCAGAACCAAATCCTAGAGTGGTTGGTTACGGGGGATGTGGAGACTTGGCCTCCAGCAAGGTGGGAGGTGGCCCAGCCAATCAGGATATTGGAGGAGGAGGGCCAGCCTTGGACTTTAGAAAGGGTGGGGCTAAAATTCTGCCGGCCAATCAGAGGCCCTTTTTACTGGCGGGTGGAACCTGTTATGGTTGGGCTGGCAGAGGCTCTGCGTGTGTACCTTCTATGAAGTCAATCTAGAGGATTTGAAAAATGTGAGCATATACATTGAAATCCAGCCCACTAAAAGGCAGCGAGCTTTGGAGAGGGTGAAACAGAATGGTCAGTCGGCACTCACTTTGGTATTGATCAAAGTGAGATAAATAGCTTCAGTTGGGTAGATCTGGGCCGTATTGTATGTTATCTAGACCGAGTCTACACTGGTTTTAGTTGAATGGGCGGTGCTTTCAAAGGGATTCTCCAATCGGTAGATGGAGTGGGTGTGGCTGCAGAGGGAAGCTAATGGTGTTGGCCAATCAACAGATGATGAGGGCTTGGCTGGGTGGGCCCTTTGAACGAGTTGGCCAATCAGCAGGTGGCCGAGATGTTTGACCAATAGGCACAAAACATGGTCGACAGAAGGCGTAACCCGGAACTGGGATGGCCAATCAGTAGTGGGCAAGGCTGCCCGGGGGGGGATGTGGGCGGGTCTCGGCCGTCCCTCAACTTAAATTTGACGCGTGGGCTAGGGCGAAGACCTGGAAGAGGAGAAAGGGGAGTCGGAGTCTACAGTGAGGAACTTCGCAGGAGCGGCCGACGAGGACGCGTCCGAGGCCCCAGGAAGCAAGGGCGACGTGGGCAGCAGCGATGTGGGGAGCTCGCCCCGCTCGCCTCCCTGCGCCCCAGGCCCTCGGCTGGGCGAGGACATAGAAGCGTATGTGCTGCGGCCAGCGCTGCGTGGCCGCACGGTGCAGTGTCGCATCAGCCGCGACAAGCGTGGCGTAGACAAGGGCATGTTCCCTCTCTACTATCTCCACCTGGAGGCGGCGGACGGCTGGAAGGTGCGGTCTGGCAGCCTCGGGAGCAAGCCCCACCTCCCAGGGGCAGATCCTGCCCCTTTCTGAGCGAGGTCAAGACTTTCATGAAGCTAGGCCTTGCTCGTCATTGAGCTAGGACGTGTCAACTCCAAAGCCACGCCCTGTCCCTCACAGATCTGGGCTCCTTTCCTTATAGAGCCCAGTCGCAGGGGCCTTACCCATCCCATCTACCCATTTACTCTCGAGATGGGCCCACCTTATTCAAAGTCAGGCCACGCCCTCTCAGGATCGAAAACCTTACCCCTTACAGACCCTCTCGCGGTATTGGCCCCACGTTTGTCGGTCCAAGTCTGGCCCCTCCACTGAGCCTCTTTGCTATTAGGCCCCACCTAATCCTGGGATAAGTCTTGCCCCTCAGGAACCAAGCCCCTCCCCTCGTGGATTTCCCATCCAGACCAAGCCAGGCCCCTCTCAGTCTGGCCATTCTCTCTGTATGGCCGCCTCTCCTCAAGGCAATCTATCCCTCCCGGAAAGAGGCTTTTCCTCTACTTGGTGCCAGACCTGCTTTTCCGGGATGAAACGCTTACTGAAGTACTGCTGCTGTGTTCCAAGTGAGGGTCTTCCCTATTCTCCAAAGCCAGGCCCTGCCTGCCAGTCAGGTTCTCCCCTGACGGCTCAGCCTCGACCCCGGACCCAGTGGCGGAAGGAATGAGGGGGAGATATTAAGATATGAAGCTCCCCTTCAGGACCCAGCAGATGACTTCCTTCAGTGAGAACCGCATCTCCCAGCAAGCCTTGGGACTCTTATTAGTCCATTATCCTTTCCTATGTGGTGGGGACATGGTGTTTCCTTGTTTTTGGACCCCTAGCCCTAGCCAGATACCAGAAATCGGTTCTGATGGACTGTTCCTCCCATCCACAGCACTTCCTTCTGGCTGGGCGCAAAAGAAAAAGGAGCAAAACCTCTAATTACCTCATCTCCCTTGACCCCACAGACCTGTCTCGGGATGGGGCCAACTTTGTGGGCAAAGTCAGGTGGGCAGAGCCCTGATGTGTGTGAGAAACAGGTGGCAGGGGGTCTGGGGGTGGGGGGGGAAGGGGACAATTGAACTACATTTCCCAGTAGGCCATAGAGCACAAGTTCCACCTGCTCTAGGGCCTTTTCTCTTCAAGACTGATGGGTTTTGTAGTTCTTCAGGTTGTAGCCCCAGGGTGGTCGGGAATAGAACTGAAGGCTTTGGAGCAGAGGCTGGCATTTTAAGACATTTGACTTCTTGAAAGGCAATGGGCTGGGCCTCCAAGTTCCTGTGGGAGAAGAGGGCTGGGATGTGTGAGTTCTTGCATCCTAGAAGGTAGAGCATTCCTAAAGGGCCAAGGCAGGAGGCTAAAGAGAGGGGGCTGGGACTGTGATACCTGGAAAACAGAACATGAGTCTTATGTAGAGGATTGATGGGAAGAGTTGATGAGATGACATGGGACAGTACTTAACGTGCAGCAAAACAGTAACAATTATTATTTTTATTCTGGCCACTTCCCTCCTGGAGCAGATCTAATGTCTTGGGTACCAAGTTCACTATCTTCGACAATGGGGTGAATCCCGAAAGGAAGAATTTCGTCTCGAAAACTGCTCGGATCAGGGAGGAGCTGGGGGCTGTGTGTTATGTGAGTGTCTGGAAGACGAGAGAGAATGGAGCAGGACAGTGGGGAGGGAGAAAGAGCCAGGCCAACTGGAGCATAATATCCTCAGGAGACCAACGTCTTGGGATTCCGAGGGCCCCGGAAAATGACTGTGATCATTCCAGGAATCGACGCCCAGAACCAGAGAATCAGCGTCCAGCCACAAAATGTGAGTCAGCTAATGTTGAGAATCTCTGCGTCAGTGGGAGAGGAAGGGCTGGGGGACTGCCCCTACGTCCTAAGGGAGGAGGGGACCGATGGATTACAGGTCACATGTGAAGCCGGGAGGAATTTGTCAGACTTCTGTGCCTCGGGGAGGAGAGACTAGGGACTCAAAATGCTGAGTCCAGAGAAAAAAAGCCAATTGGTGGTAGATTAACCACGCCCCCTACTTTACCTTCTAGGAACAGGAGTCGTTACTGAGTCGCCTCCAACGGGGCGCCAGGCAGGGGCTAGTCATGCTGCAAAACAAGGCTCCATCGTGGAGCGACGAGAGTGGCGCCTACGTGCTCGATTTTCATGGTCGAGTCACTCGGGCCTCGGTCAAAAACTTCCAGATCGTGCATCCGGATGACCGTGAGCCCCTTGGAACCGGTTTACCTGGGGATGGGGGCGTGAACGGGGACGGGGGCGTGAACGGGGACGAGAACTACCTCTCCCATCAGCACTTGAGCGTTTTCCTAGGCAGGGCCGACTCCACGCTGTTGCGAAGCCTTTTGGGAACTGTAGTTTACAACGGCCCTCAGCGGGTTTCCGGGCTTAGTAAGGGCGCCGCACAGCTTCTTGGGAGTCGTAGTTCTAGCAGCTCAGAGGCCCGCGGCCGAGACAGCAGGAATCACGCGAGGCTTAGTTCCTGACTTCCTCCGCAGCGAACTACCTGGTCCTCCAGTTTGGCCGCGTGGACCCAGACACGTTCACCATGGACTTCCGCTTCCCCCTTTGCCCGCTCCAAGCCTTCGCCATCTGTTTGTCCAGTTTCGATGGGAAGCTGGCATGTGAGTAATCCAATGAGATGTGATACTTTCATCACCTTCTGTGCCTGCTGCTTTGGAGAAGGGGCCCCAGCGTGCCGCCTTTTGCACCGCCGTACTAATGACCAACACTTGTTAGAACGCCCCCTGGGTGCCCAGTCCTGTGCTCTAGGGATCGGACTGTTCAGCAGCATCTGCTCTTGTGGGACTGAGAGTAGATTGTGGGAGATGGGTCTTCAACAACAAAAAATCAAAATGCTCATCTGCTTTGAAGGAGAAAAGCACGTGGAGGCACAAGTCGGCTGGGTCAGAGCAAGGCATCTCTAAAGAAGTGATTTTCATACATCTGAAGAATCACCAGGAACTAGCTGAGCCAGAGGGGTGAGGGATGGCAACATGAGGCAGTAGGCACAGCTCATACCAAGGTCTTAAGGTGGAAGGGGGCTTGGTCTGTTTGGGAAAATGAAAGGAGGATAGTGTAGGCGGAGACTGGGGAACCAAGGGAGAGGGGCAGGGGATGAGGCTGGGGACCGCGCAGGACATTTGGGCCCCTCTTGTTTGAACTGCTGGACAGATCTTATGAGCTCAGAGAAGAGTTCTAAGCTGGAGGCGTAAACTTGGATGGGTAATTGAAGACACGCACGGGTGAGAGAGAATAGTTCCAATACTAGCTAATGCTTACAGAACATGTTATTTGACAAGCATTGTTTTAAATGTGAACTCCTTTGGGGCCTTACCATCCCATAGGGTACGTGCAATTGTTAGCCACAATTTACAGATAAGAAAATGGAGTCTGTGGACACAGGGCTTATAAATGTGAAATCAGGCAGCTGAAAACCTTGAGAAACTCACCATGTCAAGGCCAGAAGGAGGATGAGTCTTTATATTCCAGGGAGGCACAGAAAACTGGGGGTTAACCCTTTGTTAGGGATCAATGAGTCTAGCTCTCAGCCCCTTTGGGAAGATAATTGTCCCAAGTTTAATAAAATTTAGGTGGAAGCCAAAGAAAAACTAAAAAACCCACCAGACCTTAGTTCAAAAGCTTCAGGACGAGAAGAGACCAATTCGAGGGATGATGGGAAATGTAGTTTATCCTATCTTTGAGGCACTGCCTTTTAAATTTTTATTTATTTATTTTTCCCCCAAAGCACCAGTAGATAGTTTTATGTCATAGCTACACATCCTTCTAGTTGCTGTATGTGGGACGTGGCCTCAGCATGGCCGGAGAAGCAGTGCGTCGGTGCGCGCCCGGGATCCGAACCCAGGCCGCCAGTAGCGGAGTGTGTGCACTTACTGCTAAGCCATGGGGCTGGCCCTGAGGCACTGCCTTTATGCTATTCCCCCCAACTACTTCCGGGACCCACAAGCAGTAGATATTGTCAGTTCAGAAACACACGGTGACATTGCTCACTACAAATCAAAAGGCTTTATTCCTTATATAAACCAACACTTAAAAAAAAATAAATAGTTAATAACAGGTAAACCACATGATCTTAGCCACGCCTCCCACTGAGGTCCAGGCAAGGAGATACAGACACATAAGAAGGGGAGGGGAAGGCCACAGCATGGCTCAAGGGCGTGGCCTGGACGGAGCATGTCTGCAAGGCATGGGTAGGGGCAGGTATGGTGGTCAGAGAAGGGGGAGAGTTCCCAAGACGTGCCCAGGCTCTGGCCCGGGCGGCAGGGGTGAGGCAGGGGCCCAGCTCCTCTTGGGCCCGGGCGATGCGGTGGGCGAAGCGGCTTCGATCCCGGGCCAGCTGCTCCCAGGGGCCCCGGCGGGCGGCCTGGGCTGGTCCTGCCCAGACAGCCAGGAAATGGATAGTGACTTTCTCAGAGAACCGCACCTGGAGACAGACCGGCACAGCCACCAGGAGACAGGGATAGAGACACAAGATACATGTGGCCACAGGTGGGAGGGGAGGAGAGAGAGAGAACCAAACAAAAATTAGTTACACAAAAATGCTTGCTATCTCGCCAGTCACCTGCCCGCCACCAGATTCTCATCTGACTCACTAAGGGTGGATGTGGGTTCCCTAAGGGTGACGTGAGCCACAGCTGCTCCCTCCTCCCACAGGGGCCCAGCCTCTTGCAAAGGATTGCATTACAGTGAACACAGCTCTCCCAACAGAATTGACATGCAACCCTCTGCAACACACGGGGCACTCAGGAGTTGGGGCCTCCAGCCCTCGGCACCCAGACCCAGGAGTTCCAGCTCCCAGCCCCCTCCTTCCTAAGACCCAAGAATCTGACCCCTCAGCACACACCTTTCTGGCCTTTAGGGGAGTCTCGGGGTCCATTTCCCGGGTGGGAGTTTCTGCAGACTTGAGCCGCCTTTGCAGTCGGAGGGGCAGCTGAGGAGGAGCCCAGGGAGGTGGCGGCTTCTCTCCAGGTACATAGATGGCCACTCGGAAGGGGCAGGGCCCAGCTTCTCCCCACTCCTCAGCAGCGTCCCCTCCCTCTGTCTCCTTTCCAGGTTGATATATCCGGCCCCTGAGGAGGGCGCTCTGGGCCTGAAGGGAGGGACTTGGCCCTGAGACAGCTGCTTCTGAATCATCGTCATCCTCATTCTCTTCCTCATCCTCATCTTCCTCCTCTGTGTCCTCTCCTGGCCGATACACCCAGGCCCTGAGGAAGGCACTTGTGGGAGGGATGGAAGAGGGACCCTCAGCTGCTCCCTGTTCCTCAGCTGCTCCTGAATCACTGAATTCATCTTCCTCCTCCTCTGTGTCCTCTCCTGGCCG